CTAGGTGGTGTTCTCAATGCCCTGTTCTCTCAAGGCAGTGTTCCCAATGCCCTGTTCTCCCAAGGTGGTGTTCCCAATGCCCTGTTCTCCCAAGGTGGTGTTCCCAATGCCCTGTTCACCCAAGATGGTGTTCCCAATGCCCTGTTCACCCAAGGTGGTGTTCTCAATGCCCTGTTCACCCAAGATGGTGTTCCCAATGCCCTGTTCACCCAAGATGGTGTTCCCAATGCCCTGTTCACCCAAGATGGTGTTCCCAATGCCCTGTTCACCCAAGGTGGTGTTCTCAATGCCCTGTTCACCCAAGATGGTGTTCCCAATGCCCTGTTCACCCAAGATGGTGTTCCCAATGCCTTGTTCACCCAAGGTGGTCTTCCCAATGCCCTGTTCACCCAAGGTGGTGTTCTCAATGCCTTGTTCTCCCAAGACAGTTTTCACCCGTGGATGGTATAAGGGCCAGAGACCGGGCCGGGGCTCACACTGCCCCTGGGGGCCGTCAGCAAGGCAGCCCATGACAAAAAAGATGGACTGACGTGTTCCAACTGACAGTATAAATGTCAGGCGAAGCGGACTCGGTATTCAACACCAGACAATGGCTACTGACTCCTTCTTTTATGAAGGGTTTTGTGCTCAACTGTGGTATAATTAGTATGTCAGCCGGCGGCCTCCAACAGCCTGATTGACCAGTGAAGAGTGAAGAGCAGTGAAGAGCAGAGGTGCCATAGGCACAATCAGAGAACACTGTATAAACATCAGCGGTCCGCGGTTGTTCAACGTCCTCCCAGCGACTATAAGAAATATTGCCGGAACAACCGTGGACATCTTCAAGAGAAAACTAGATAGTTTTCTAAGAGAAGTGCCGGACCAACCGGGCTGTGGTGGGTATGTGGGTCTGCGGGCCGCTCCAAGCAACAGCCTGGTGGACCAAACTCTCACAAGTCAAGCCTGGCCTCGGGCCGGGCTTGGGGAGTAGAAAAACTCCCAGAACCCCATCAACCAGGTGTTGGTTGCGAGGATCAACATCCCTGCGGCCCGGTCTCTGATCAGGCCTCCTGGTTGGTCGTCTGGTCAACCAGGCTGTTGGACGCGGCTGCTCGCAGCCTGACGTATGAGTCACAGCCTGGTTGATCAGGTATCCTTTGGAGGTGTTTATCAAGTTCTCTCTTGAACACTGTGAGGGGTCGGCCAGTTATGCCCCTTATGTGTAGTGGAAGCGTGTTGAACAGTCTCGGGCCTCTGATGTTGATAGTTCTCTCTTGAACACTGTGAGGGGTCGGCCAGTTATGTCCCTTATGTGTAGTGGAAGCGTGTTGAACAGTCTCGGGCCTCTGATGTTGATAGTTCTCTCTTGAACACTGTGAGGGGTCGGCCAGTTATGTCCCTTATGTGTAGTGGAAGCGTGTTGAACAGTCTCGGGCCTCTGATGTTGATAGTTCTCTCTTGAACACTGTGAGGGGGTCGGCCAGTTATGTCCCTTATGTGTAGTGGAAGCGTGTTGAACAGTCTCGGGCCTCTGATGTTGATAGTTCTCTCTTGAACACTGTGAGGGGTCGGCCAGTTATGTGCCTTATGTGTAGTGGAAGCGTGTTGAACAGTCTCGGGCCTCTGATGTTGATAGTTCTCTCTTGAACACTGTGAGGGGTCGGCCAGTTATGTCCCTTATGTGTAGTGGAAGCGTGTTGAACAGTCTCGGGCCTCTGATGTTGATAGTTCTCTCTTGAACACTGTGAGGGGTCGGCCAGTTATGTCCCTTATGTGTAGTGGAAGCGTGTTGAACAGTCTCGGGCCTCTGATGTTGATAGTTCTCTCTTGAACACTGTGAGGGGGTCGGCCAGTTATGTCCCTTATGTGTAGTGGAAGCGTGTTGAACAGTCTCGGGCCTCTGATGTTGATAGTTCTCTCTTGAACACTGTGAGGGGTCGGCCAGTTATGTCCCTTATGTGTAGTGGAAGCGTGTTGAACAGTCTCGGGCCTCTGATGTTGATAGTTCTCTCTTGAACACTGTGAGGGGTCGGCCAGTTATGTCCCTTATGTGTAGTGGAAGCGTGTTGAACAGTCTCGGGCCTCTGATGTTGATAGTTCTCTCTTGAACACTGTGACGGGTCGGCCAGTTATGTCCCTTATGTGTAGTGGAAGCGTGTTGAACAGTCTCGGGCCTCTGATGTTGATAGTTCTCTCTTGAACACTGTGAGGGGTCGGCCAGTTATGTCCCTTATGTGTAGTGGAAGCGTGTTGAATAGTCTCGGGCCTCTGATGTTGATAGTTCTCTCTTGAACACTGTGAGGGGTCGGCCAGTTATGCCCCTTATGTGTAGTGGAAGCGTGTTGAACAGTCTCGGCCTCTGATGTTGATAGTTCTCTCTTGAACACTGTGAGGGGTCGGCCAGTTATGTCCCTTATGTGTAGTGGAAGTGTGTTGAACAGTCTCGGGCCTCTGATGTTGATAGAGTTCTCTCTCAGAGTACCTGTTGCACCTCTGCTCTTCAACGGGGGTATTCTGCACATCCTGCCATGCCTTCTGGTCTCACGTGATGTTATAAAATAAAAAAAATGTGTGGGGGTTGACAGGGAGGCAGGGGGGGGGGGTGATGTTGCTGGTGGTCAGGATGTTATTGTTCTACTCGTGCTTTTGTTCTTTTTTGTTCATGCTGTTCATGTTCTTCGAACTTGTTACATTTAGTTTATAATTTGTTAAGTAATACCATCATCAAAATTGTCAGCTAAATTATTGTTAATATGATAGCGGGGGGGGGGGGCAGACCTTGGGGCAGGGTGGAGGAGGCCAGACCTTGGGGCAGGGTGTGGAGGCCAGACCTTGGGGCAGGGTGTGGAGGTCAGACCTTGGGGCAGGGCGGATACGGCCAGACCTTGGGGCAGGGCGGAGGAGGCCAGACCTTGGGGCAGGGTGTGGAGGTCAGACCTTGGGGCAGGGTGGAGGAGGCCAGACCTTGGGGCAGGGTGGAGAGGGCCAGACCTTGGGGCAGGGTGGAGGAGGCCAGACCTTGGGGCAGGGTGTGGAGGTCAGACCTTGGGGCAGGGTGGAGGAGGCCAGACCTTGGGGCAGGGTGGAGGAGGCCAGACCTTGGGGCAGGGTGTGGAGGTCAGACCTTGGGGCAGGGTGGAGGAGGCCAGACCTTGGGGCAGGGTGGAGAGGGCCAGACCTTGGGGCAGGGTGGGGAGGGCCAGACCTTGGGGCAGGGTGGAGGAGGCCAGACCTTGGGGCAGGGTGGGGAGGCCAGACCTTGGGGCAGGGTGTAGTAGGCCAGACCTTGGGGCAGGGTGGGGAGGCCAGACCTTGGGGCAGGGTGGAGAAGGCCAGACCTTGGGGCAGGGTGGAGGAGGCCAGACCTTGGGGCAGGGTGTGGAGGTCAGACCTTGGGGCAGGGTGGAGGAGGCCAGACCTTGGGGCAGGGTGGAGGAGGCCAGACCTTGGGGCAGGGTGGAGAGGGCCAGACCTTGGGGCAGGGGGGGGAGGGCCAGACCTTGGGGCAGGGTGGAGGAGGCCAGACCTTGGGGCAGGGTGGGGAGGCCAGACCTTGGGGCAGGGTGGAGGAGGCCAGACCTTGGGGCAGGGTGGGGAGGCCAGACCTTGGGGCAGGGTGGAGAAGGCCAGACCTTGGGGCAGGGTGGAGGAGGCCAGACCTTGGGGCAGGGTGGGGAGGCCAGACCTTGGGGCAGGGTGGAGGAGGCCAGACCATGGGGCAGGGTGGAGGAGGCCAGACCTTGGGGCAGGGTGGGGAGGCCAGACCTTGGGGCAGGGTGGAGGAGGCCAGACCTTGGGGCAGGGTGGAGGAGGCCAGACCTTGGGGCAGGGTGGGGAGGCCAGACCTTGGGGCAGGGTGGAGGAGGCCAGACCTTGGGGCAGGGTGGAGGAGGCCAGACCTTGGGGCAGGGTGGAGGAGGCCAGACCTTGGGGCAGGGTGGAGGAGGCCAGACCTTGGGGCAGGGTGGGGAGGCCAGACCTTGGGGCAGGGCGGAGGAGGCCAGACCTTGGGGCAGGGTGGAGGAGGCCAGACCTTGGGGCAGGGTGGAGGAGGCCAGACCTTGGGGCAGGGCGGAGAGGCCAGACCTTGGGGCAGGGCGGAGGAGGCCAGACCTTGGGGCAGGGCGGAGGAGGCCAGACCTTGGGGCAGGGCGGAGGAGGCCAGACCTTGGGGCAGGGCGGAGGAGGCCAGACCTTGGGGCAGGGCGGAGAGGCCAGACCTTGGGGCAGGGCGGAGGAGGCCAGACCTTGGGGCAGGGCGGAGGAGGCCAGACCTTGGGGCAGGGCGGAGGAGGCCATACCTTGGGGCAGGGTGGAGGAGGCCAGACCTTGGGGCAGGGCGGAGGAGGCCAGACCTTGGGGCAGGGCGGAGGAGGCCAGACCTTGGGGCAGGGCGGAGGAGGCCAGACCTTGGGGCAGGGTGGAGGAGGCCAGACCTTGGGGCAGGGTGGAGGAGGCCAGACCTTGGGGCAGGGCGGAGAGGCTAGACCTTGGGGCAGGGCGGAGAGACCAGACCTTGGGGCAGGGCGGAGGAGGCCAGACCTTGGGGCAGGGTGGAGGAGGCCAGACCTTGACTACAACAAGATTGCAATTGCTTCATTACAACCGCTCTACTGTTGCTCTGTAACAGCTTCCTCGGTAACACATATTGCGAGTCACCGTGGACGCCTGGACTTAAGTACAGACATTAAGTCCATCACACAAGTCCAAGTCCAAGGTCAGGGTGTTATTGCCTTTTCAGTGTCTTGGACAGCATATATGCTAGTCAGCATTGCCAGAATGCAACCACCCACCTTGAGGGTGGAAGCAGCCCGGGACAGCTGTCTAACTCCCAGGTACCTATTTACAACTAGGTGAACAGGACCATCAGGAGTGAAAGAAACATTTTGCCCATTTGTCTCCGCCTCCACCGGGGATCGAACCCGGAACCCTCAGGATTACGAATCCCAAGCGCTGTCCACTCAGCTATCAACCCCCCCTTCTGTGGCTGAGTGCTCAATACCTCGCTACGCTGTATGATGCCCGACCCCGTCAAGGGAACATACAAGAAAATGTATATTTGTGCTGGTTAGTGTTGTATAAATGTATGGCCACGTCTGTGGGAGATAATATTTTCAAAAACAACGGTGACTGCGGTTGGGCTGAGGCGGGGGGGGGGGGGGAGGGGACTGGTGGAGACAGGCAGACAGATAGACAGACAGATAGACAGACAGACAGACAGACAGACAGACAGACAGACAGACAGACAAACAGAGACAGGCAGAGACAAAGGCACAGACAGACACAGACAGACAGACACAGACAGACAGACACAGACAGACAGACAGACACAGACAGAGACAGACAGACACAGACAGAGACAGACAGACACAGACAGAGACAGACAGACAGAGAGACAGACAGACAGAGACAGAGACAGACAGAGACAGACAGACAGAGAGACAGACAGACAGAGACAGTGTGGGGGAGACGAGACAAGACATACACGCCATGCGCAGCTCATCATAACTACTGCTGCTCCCCTAGGTGGCCCTGCAGGTTCTAGCTCTAGCTCCTGGACCCCACTTTTCTAGCCGCATGTTGTTTAAAGCAGTGACTCCTGCCCTATTGCCCTATCGGGAGCCGGTCGGCCGAGCGGACAGCACGCTGGACTTGTGATCCTGTGGTCCTGGGTTCGATCCCGGGCGCCGGCGAGAAACAGTGGGCAGAGTTTCTTTCACCCTATGCCCCTGTTACCTAGCAGTAAAATAGGTACCTGGGTGTTAGTCAGCTGTCACGGGCTGCTTCCTGGGGGTGGAGGCCTGGTCGAGGACCGGGCCGCGGGGACTCTAAAACCCCGAAATCATCTCAAGATAACCTCAAGGAAGGTCCATACATACAAGGTAAGATACAAAGTTGATGGATTTATAGATAGAGCTAGTACATACAATGCCTAAAGCCACTATTACGCAAAGCGTTTCGGGCAGTGATCTATAAGGCTCCTTATTCAAGTTTCTGGAGGATGTTCTGACTTTTGCTAGTATAGAGTATGCCGCTGATGTTATTCTATTTATATGAGCCTCTGGAGTTAGGTTCGGTGGTATGTCCATTCCCAGGTCCTTTTCTCTAGTCGGTTAGGGGAGTCTAACCGTCTTTTTTCTAATCGGTCTAGTAGGGCCTCGTAGCCTGGTGGATAGCGCGCAGGACTCGTAATTCTGTGGCGCGGGTTCGATTCCCGCACGAGGCAGAAACAAATGGGCAAAGTTTCTTTCACCCTATGCACCTGTTACCTAGCAGTAAAATAGGTACCTGGGTGTTAGTCAGCTGTCACGGGCTGCTTCCTGGGGGTGGAGGCCTGGTCGAGGACCGGGCCGCGGGGACACTAAAGCCCCGAAATCATCTCAAGATAACCTCAAGATAGTCTAGTCGGAAGGTAGTTTCCCTTCATTATGTATCGGTCTTTCGGTCTCCTGAATGCTGATCCAATTTCAATCACCTTACACATGCTGGTGTTGAACTCTAGCAGCCAGTTCTTGGACCAGCTTTGCAACCAATTCAAGTCATCTTGGAGAATCTTACAGTCCTCATCTGTCTCAACCCGCCCTATTAGTCTTCCATAATCTGGAGACATCGAGATATAAGACTCGAAAGTCGTTTACATAAATGATGAATAGTATGGGACCCAGCACCGATCCTTGAAGCACCTCGTCTGGAGGGATGCCCTGTGTGTATTCACCTACCTTGAGGTTACCTTGAGATGCTTCCGGGGCTTAGCGTCCCCGCGGCCCGGTCGTCGACCAGGCCTCCTGGTTGCTGGACTGATCTACCAGGCTAGTTGTACTCGCCTAGTTGTGCTTGCGGGGGTTGAGCTCTGGCTCTTTGGTCCCGCCTCTCAACCGTCAATCAACTGGTGTGTGTGTGTGTGTGTGTGTGTGTGTGTGTGTGTGTGTGTGTCATGTGTGTACTCACCTAGTTTTACTCACCTAGTTGTGCTTGCGGAGGTTGAGCTCTGGCTCTTTGGTCCCGCCTCTCAACTGTTAGTGCGTACGTGAGACAAGAGGGTGCACGAGAGGTTATCTTGAGATGATTTCGGGGCTTTAGTGTCCCCGCGGCCCGGTCCTCGACCAGGCCTCCACCCCCAGGAAGCAGCCCGTGACAGCTGACTAACACCCAGGTACCTATTTTACTGCTAGGTAACAGGGGCATAGGGTGAAAGAAACTCTGCCCATTTTGTATCTCGCCGGCGCCCGGGATCGAACCCAGGACCACAGGATCACGAGTCCAGTGTTCTGTCCGCTCGGCCGACCGGCTCCCTTAAACGAAGCAGTGGTACCTTAGTGTGGGGCTACAAGCAGTTGTACCTTTGTGTGGGGCTACAAGCAGTGGTACCTTAGTGTGGGGCTACAAGCAGTTGTACCTTTGTGTGGGGCTACAAGCAGTTGTACCTTAGTGTGGGGCTACAAGCAGTTGTACCTTAGTGTGGGGCTACAAGCAGTTGTACCTTAGTGTGGGGCTACAAGCAGTGGTACCTTAGTGTGGGGCTACAAGCAGTTGTACCTTAGTGTGGGGCTACAAGCAGTTGTACCTTAGTGTGGGGCTACAAGCAGTGGTACCTTAGTGTGGGGCTACAAGCAGTTGTACCTTAGTGTGGGGCTACAAGCAGTGGTACCTTAGTGTGGGGCTACAAGCAGTTGTACCTTAGTGTGGGGCTACAAGCAGTTGTACCTTAGTGTGGGGCTACAAGCAGTGGTACCTTAGTGTGGGGCTACAAGCAGTTGTACCTTAGTGTGGGGCTACAAGCAGTGGTACCTTAGTGTGGGGCTACAAACAGGCATCTGGACACTGATCTTGAAGTGCGTGTCCAAGGTCAGTAGCGTCACTAATGACAGCCCCGACCATCTCTGACTCATCTTGCCCTTCCCTGAGGTCCACCTTCACCCTCCCTCCCAAGGCTGTGTGGCTGGAGTGCTCAAGGACCTTCTATTGAGACAAGAAAATACATCTCAGAGGGATAGAGTATCTTAGTAGTAGGATAGACACAGCCTCCAAGCACGGGCGGCTGTGTCTACCCTCCTCGCTGGAGCGGTCGTCCTCAAGGCTCCTCTATGCCAAATCGAGGGAAAGACGTGAATAATTAGATGAGTAAATGTCAATATATCAAATGTTACGAGAGGTATTGTAATTCTCGCAATATTAAGCTCCAACCAACAGCCTGGTGGACCAAACTCTCACAAGTCAAGCCTGGCCTCGGGCCGGGCTTGGGGAGTAGAACAACTCCCAGAACCCCATCAACCAGGTATCAACCAACAGCCTGGTGGACCAAACTCTCACAAGTCAAGCCTGGCCTCGGGCCGGGCTTGGGGAGTAGAACAACTCCCAGAACCCCATCAACCAGGTATCAACCAACAGCCTGGTGGACCAAACTCTCACAAGTCAAGCCTGGCCTCGGGCCGGGCTTGGGGAGTAGAACAACTCCCAGAACTACATCAACCAGGTATCAACCAACAGCCTGGTGGACCAAACTCTCACAAGTCAAGCCTGGCCTCGGGCCGGGCTTGGGGAGTAGAAGAACTCCCAGAACCCCATCAACCAGGTATCAACCAACAGCCTGGTGGACCAAACTCTCACAAGTCAAGCCTGGCCTCGGGCCGGGCTTGGGGAGTAGAAGAACTCCCAGAACCCCATCAACCAGGTATCAACCAACAGCCTGGTGGACCAAACTCTCACAAGTCTAAGCCTGGCCTCGGGCCGGGCTTGGGGAGTAGAAGAACTCCCAGAACCCCATCTACCAGGTATCAACCAACAGCCTGGTGGACCAAACTCTCACAAGTCAAGCCTGGCCTCGGGCCGGGCTTGGGGAGTAGAAGAACTCCCAGAACCCCATCAACCAGGTATCAACCAATAGCCTGGTGGACCAAACTCTCACAAGTCAAGCCTGGGCTCGGGCCGGGCTTGGGGAGTACAACAACTCCCAGAACCCCATCAACCAGGTATCAACCAACAGCCTGGTGGACCAAACTCTCACAAGTCAAGCCTGGCCTCGGGCCGGGCTTGGGGAGTAGAACAACTCCCAGAACCCCATCAACCAGGTATCAAGCAACAGCCTGGTGGACCAAACTCTCACAAGTCAAGCCTGGCCTCGGGCCGGGCTTGGGGAGTAGAACAACTCCCAGAACCCCATCAACCAGGTATCAACCAACAGCCTGGTGGACCAAACTCTCACAAGTCAAGCCTGGCCTCGGGCCGGGCTTGGGGAGTAGAACAACTCCCAGAACCCATCAACCAGGTATCAACCAACAGCCTGGTGGACCAAACTCTCACAAGTCAAGCCTGGCCTCGGGCCGGGCTTGGGGAGTAGAAGAACTCCCAGAACCCCATCAACCAGGTATCAACCAACAGCCTGGTGGACCAAACTCTCACAAGTCAAGCCTGGCCTCGGGCCGGGCTTGGGGAGTAGAACAACTCCCAGAACCCATCAACCAGGTATCAACCAACAGCCTGGTGGACCAAACTCTCACAAGTCAAGCCTGGCCTCGGGCCGGGCTTGGGGAGTAGAAGAACTCCCAGAACCCCATCAACCAGGTATCAACCAACAGCCTGGTGGACCAAACTCTCACAAGTCAAGCCTGGCCTCGGGCCGGGCTTGGGGAGTAGAAGAACTCCCAGAACCCCATCAACCAGGTATCAACCAACAGCCTGGTGGACCAAACTCTCACAAGTCAACCCTGGCCTCGGGCCGGGCTTGGGGAGTAGAACAACTCCCAGAACCCCATCAACCAGGTATCAAGCAGGTAATGATGATAATGGCTGATATAATTCTCAGTACACGTGAAGAGAATCATTGCCCAAGCTGACAGCTGTGAAGCATGACCTTCCCCAAGTCTTAGACCCGAATCATGGGGGGGGGGGGGGGTCGTGGGGGAGGAAGGAGGGGGAGAGGGGGGTAGCAGAGGTGCTACCAGGGGTTATTAAGGTAATTTCTCACGCCCCAGGGCCAAGGTAACGACCTCTCACACCTGACTGTCTTATTCTCACATGTGACTGTCTCTCTCTCTCTCACCTGTGTCTCTGGATCTTGATGACGTGGAGTCTGGAGGGCGGAGTTGGGCTGCAGTTTTGGAGACAAGAGTCTTACCTCCAAGAGTAGTCTTTGGTTGTGATGTGCAAGTCATTTGTACTCATTTTTTTCTTGCATGTGACTGAGCCGCAGCTCTTCGGCCATCGACTCTCGACCTTCAGTCGACTGGTGTACAGATTCCGGAGCCTTTTGAAGATGTGTATGGAATTCGCCTCCACAACTTCACTTCTTAGTTTATTCCATTTATTGTACTCTGACCGGGCCGCGGGGACACTAAAAAAGCCCCGAAATCATCTCAAAATAATCTCAAGATAACACTAAGCAAATGTTTATGTGACTCAAGTAATTAATGTCCACCCGTGTCATTCCACCCCGTTACTACGGAGTCTTCCGGGCTTGGAGCCTATCTAGAGGTTATCTTGAGATGATTTCGGGGCTTTAGTGTCCCCGCGGCCCGGTCCTCGACCAGGCCCCACCTGGTCGAGGGTGGAGGCCTGGAAGCAGTCCACCTGTCACGGGCTGCTTCCCCTAGGAAGCAGCCCGTGACAGCTGACTAACACCCAGGTCCTATTTAACTGCTAGGTAACAGGGGCATAGGGTGAATGAAACTCTGCCCATTGTTTCTCGCCGACGCCCGGGATCGAACCCAGGACCACAGGATCACAAGCCCAGCGTGCTGTCCGCTCGACCGACCAGCCTAATTTGGATAATTACTTGTGTGACCTGGAACTACTTTGGTGGCAGACCTCTGGACGTGAGGTTAGTTTCGTGTTATATCTGGAGCGATAAGGAAGTGACGATTGGCGCCGCATATTCCAGGATCAGTCCGTCTTGTGTGGCACAAAAGCTTCCGAATACTTCCTCAAGATTAGAGGTCAGGAGCCAGATTCACGAAAGTACTTACGCAAGCACTTACGAACGTGTACATCTTTCCTCAATCTTTGACGGCTTTGGTTACATTTATTAAACAGTTTACAAGCATGAAAACTTGCCAATCAACTGTTGTTATTGTTATAAACAGCCTCCTGGTGCTTCGGAGCTCATTAACCGTTTAATAATTGGAAACAAAGCCGCCAAAGATTGAGAAAAGATGTACAGGTTCGTAAGTGCTTGCGTAAGTGCTTTCGTGAATCTGGCCCCAGGACCTCTCCGTAGGGTGCAGTCGCACCTCCACAGGTCTCCAGTATCAGCTAATGATACTGGTAATGGCTCCAAAGGGCCACCACTTACGGGCTATTCATGCCTGTGCCACCTTTTGGCTGGCTTAATCTTCATCAATCAATCAATCCTCAAGATTGTTCTCATGGGTATGAGAACCTCTCTACCATACACATGCAGTGGATGATGTCCAGTTGAAGTGAGTTTCAGGAGACAGGTTTGGTGTGATATACCAAATAAGGTTTGTTAATCTGCCAGATTCTAGCAGGATTTTCTTTTCCTAGAAGCATGCGATCCCTGTACTAGGATAGCAGCTATCCCTGTACTAGGATAGCAGCTATCCCTGTACTAGGGTAGCAGCTATCCCTGTACTAGGATAGCAGCTATCCCTGTACTAGGATAGCAGCTATCCCTGTACTAGGATAGCAGCTATCCCTGTACTAGGATAGCAGCTATCCCTGTACTAGGATAGCAGCTATCCCTGTACTAGGATAGCAGCTATCCCTGTACTAGGATAGCAGCTATCCCTGTACTAGGATAGCAACCATGTCCTCCCTGGAAACACAAACCGAAACTGTCTCTATTTTCCGTTTGTTACAACTTGTAATAAAGTTGTTCCATCTTGGCTTAACGTGTTTATGACGTATTAGAACGTTGTTACAACTTGCTATATTGGTTGTTATAACTGGTTAGGAGGTGTTAAAACTTGTTCGAACGTTGTACCAACGTCGTAGTTTCGGTGTGTGTTTGACGAGTAGTTGGACTGACCTCTTGAATGGTCGGCGTTTGATTCCCGATGGTTCTAAATAGTGACTAATGATCATATACTTTCTCCTGATTGGGCGCCTGACAGCTGAGTGGACAGCGCTTCGGATTCGTAGTCCTGAGGTTCTGGGTTCGATCCCCGGTGGAGGCAGAGACAAATGGGCAAAATGTTTCTTTCACCCTGTTGCCCCCTGTTACTTAGCAGTAAATAGGTACCTGGGAGTTAGACAGCTGCTACAGGCTGCTTCCTGGGGGGGGGGTGTAACAAAAACGGAGGCCTGGTCGAGGACCGGGCCGCGGGGACGCTAAGCCCCGAAATCATCTCAAGATAACCTCTAAGATGTGACTTACTACTGACCTCTTAAGATATGACTTACTACTGACCCCTTAAGATATGACCTAATACTGATCCCCTTAAGATGTGACCTAATACTGACCTCTTAAGATATGACCTAATACTGACCTCTTAAGATGTGACCTAATACTGACCCCCTTAAGATGTGACCTCATACTGACCCCTTAAGATGTGACCTAATACTGACCTCTTAAGATATGACCTAATACTGACCTCTTAAGATGTGACCTAATACTGACCCCCTTAAGATGTGACCTCATACTGACCCCTTAAGATGTGACCTAATACTGACCCCTTAAGATATGACCTAATACTGACCTCTTAAGATATGACCTAATACTGTCCCCCTTAAGATATGACCTAATACTGACCCCCTTAAGATATGACCTAATACTGACCCCCTTAAGATGTGACCTCATACTGACCCCTTAAGATGTGACCTAATACTGACCCCTTAAGATATGACCTAATACTGTCCCCCTTAAGATATGACCTAATACTGACCCCCTTAAGATATGACCTAATACTGACCCCCTTAAGATGTGACCTAATACTGACCCCCTTAAGATGTGACCTAATACTGACCCCTTAAGATATGACCTAATACTGTCCCCCTTAAGATATGACCTAATACTGACCCCCTTAAGATATGACCTAATACTGACCCCCTTAAGATATGACCCAATACTGACCCCCTTAAGATATGACCTAATACTGACCCCCTTAAGATGTGACCTAATACTGACCCCTTAAGATATGACCTTATACTGTCCCCCTTAAGATATGACCTAATACTGACCCCCTTAAGATGTGACCTAATACTGACCCCCTTAAGATGTGACCTAATACTGACCCCTTAAGATATGACCTTATACTGTCCCCCTTAAGATATGACCTAATACTGTCCCCCTTAAGATATGACCTAATACCGACCTCTTAATAGGACTGCTGGCGATATTTCACCTCACTCAAGTCTCCTATTTATGCGCCATCACAATCGAGCCTTAGCTCTTGGGCCTCACCTTCTAGTCGTTGGTTATCTAATGCAATGACTCCTGCCTTATTTATCGTATTTTAAAGTTATGAATTGAGTTCACTTCTGCAACTTGTTCATTTGTTCTCCACACTACTGTTATTCTAAAAGATATCTTTCTGATATCTCTTGACTCGTCTGATTCTCAGGCTTACATCCATGCCCTCTTGTTGTCTTGGTATTCAGTTTGAACATCTCTCTTTTTTTGTCAGTTCCTCTGAGAATTTTATAGGTGGTGATCATGTCTTTTCTGACTCTTCTGTCTTCGTGTCAAGAGGTTTAGCTCCAGGTTTGTGTGTGTGTGTGTGTGTGTGTGTGTGTGTGTGTGTGTGTGTGTGTGTGTGTGTGTGTGTGTGTGTGTGTGTGTGTGTGTGTGCTCACCTAGTTGTACTCGCCTAGTTGTGCTTGCGGGGTTGAGCTCTGGCTCTTTGGTCCTGCCTGTCAACTATGTGTGTGTGTGTGTGTGTGTGTGTGTGTGTGTGTGTGTGTGTGTGTGTGTGTGTGTGCTCACCTAGTTGTACTCGCCTAGTTGTGCTTGCGGGGTTGAGCTCTGGCTCTTTGGTCCTGCCTGTCAACTATCAGTTTGTGTGTGTGTGTGTGTGTGTGTGTGTGTGTGTGTGTGTGTGTGTACGTACGTACGTACAGAACAGAAGTACGTACGCCTGTCACCCCTAACAGTAGCCCACAGGCCGTGCACCTTGTACGTACAGGTAACCCTTGAGACCTTCACAATTACAGGCCCGGAGTCGTTAGACCTATCGCTGCTGACACCTCTGTTCATTAGTTTTATTTTCTATTGTTCATTCAGTGGTAATTGGGACGTTCAATGCTGCTATTATGGTTTTGAGTTCATCAGTTCATGTTCACTATTGCCTTGCTTGGCGCTCGTATGGCGATGTCGCCATAGATGTAACTGGCGTTGTTGTCATGGCAACCCAGGTGTAGGGGAGCCGGTCGGCCGAGCGGACAGCACGCTGGACTTGTGATCCTGTGGTCCTGGGTTCGATCCCAGGCGCCGGCGAGAAACAATGGGCAGAGTTTCTTTCACCCTATGCCCGTGTTACCTAGCAGTAAAATAGGTACCTGGGTGTTAGTCAGCTGTCACGGGATGCTTCCTGGGGGTGGAGGCCTGGTCGAGGACCGGGCCGCGAGGACACTAAAGCCCCGAAATCATCTCAAGATAGCTTAACTAATTGTCAGTTGTTGAGGAAGAGTGGTGGGTGTGGCTGATGAGTTGTGGTCACTACTGAGCATCGGGTGATGAGTATATACCTGGAACTTACCTGCACAGGGTTTCGGGAGTTCTCTGATCTCCGAGGCCCGGTCCCTCTGTGTATATATACACCTGGACGCACCAGCTTAGTGTTTTGAGTTAATAAAGTGGAGCAACAATATAACTTGGAATATACCGCATATGTACTTATTCATAAGCAAAATATTGACTATAAGCAATAAGTCATATATGTGCTGTCATGTGCGTGAGTGGGTTGAGCAACACACACACACATACACACATACACACATACACACATACACACATACACACATACACACACACACACACACACACACACACACACACACACACACACACACACACACACACACACACGCACACGCACACAGGCTCGTTGGCAAGGGATTAAAAACGTCCTTCCAATGGCTATGACCATTATTTTGCTGTCATGCTTGTAAATGACTCCTCCCCCTCCCCCCCCCCCCCAGTAGGGGCAATCCACTCAGAGCTCCTGTACCTCACTCAACCTCAACCCGGTGATAGCCA